GACCGCGCTCTCTTTGTTCTGGCTGCGCTGGCTGGGTTCTTAACCTAGCTCTGGCCTGTGTTTCACCCGGCTGTGCTTGGAAATAAAGAGACCTTAATCCAATAGCTTAGTCAGCCATGCAAGGAGATGGGGAGTTGGGTCTATGAGCAGTGGAAGCCATCAGAATTTCACACTGGGCAGTCATATTTGTGTTGGTCACTGTAAATACAGTGAGCCACAAGGGAGGCCATCCTGGTCTGGCTTAGCTATGGTCTAGGAAATAAATGATGGTGACATGGCAGGTGCTATGATATGTACATGTGACCCCCACACCTTCACACATTGGAAGCATAAGGAGTGGAGACTTTGGGAGGTGACTTTCAGGATGGTGGAGTTACATAGCAATTTTGGACTGCTTGAGGCCCCTCCTCTTTTAATTAATAATTCTTCTCTCATATAGTACATTCCAACCACCCCTTCCTCCACTTCTCCTAGCCCCCTCCATCTCCCCTTGATCTATTCCTCTTCTGTTCTTCGGAAAAGAGCAGGCCTCCAAGAGATGACAGCCAAACAAGACAAAACAAGAAACAATTAAGACAAGGCAGAAGTGCCCATATCCAGGCTGGACAACACAACCCAATAGTAGGAAAAGAGTCTAGAGAGCAGGCAAATGAGTCAGATATACCCACTCCCACTGTTAGGAAAACACTGTTACAAAAACAGCAAGCTAACAGCCATAACATATGCGGAGAACCTGGTGCAGAACCAAGCAGGCCTCGTGCTTGCTGTTTTGGTTTCTGTGAGTCCATGTGAACCCTGCTTAGTTAATTCAGTGGGCTGTGTTCTCCATCTCCTCTGAATCCTACAGGCTCTCCTCTCCTTCTGTGAGGTTCACTGGTCTTCAAGGGGAGGGTACTGATGGAGACTCCAATTTAGACTCTCTCTGAATAATGTCTGGCTGTGGGATTTTGTACCTGCTCCCATCTGGTGCTGGAGGAAGCCTCTCTGGTTCCTGGCTCTTCTTGTGGCACCAAAGTTAAACCAAACATTGGTTGGCCACTCCCACTGTGCCACCATTGCCCCAGCACATCTTGTAGGCAGTGCTAATTGGAGGTGGTAGGTTTTGTGGCTGGATTGGTGTCTAGGTTTCTCTTTCTGTAGCCTGCAGAGTATTTTCTGTGCCAAAGTGAGGGTCAAGGCTCCAAGCCTGTACCAGCTTCACCCCTCTATATTCAACGAGCTGTGTGGATGCAATGGGGCCCCACTGTCAATTTTCAGAGAGCGACCTTCTGTCCTAGCATCAGCCTGGGTTGTTTAGGGTCTCCATGGAAACACCTCTGCCAACAACTCAACTGAATGTTGGGAAATGCAAATCAAAACTACCTTGAGATTCCATCTTACCCCTGTCAGAATGGCTAAGATCAATAGCACAAGTGACTACTCATGCTGGCCAGGATTGTGGAGCAAGGAGAACACTCCTCTGTTGTTGGTGGGAGTGCAAACTTACTTGTACACCCACTATGGAAATTAATACGGTGGTTCCTCTGAAAATTGGGAATCAATCTATATCAAGACCCAGCTATTCCACTCTTGGGCATGTACACAAAGGATGCTCACTCACACCACAAGGACACCTGCTCAACTATGTTCATAGCAGCATTATTCATAATATACAGAAACTGGAAATAACCTAGATGTCCCTCAACAGAAGAATAAAGAATAAAGGATAAAGAAAATGTGGTACATTTACACAAATAGATGCAACTAGAAAAAATATCACTGTGAGTGAGGTAACCCAGACACAGAAATAAAAATATGGTATGTATTCACTTATAAGTGAATACTAGCTGCTAAATAAATGATAATCAAACTACAATCCACAGACCAGAGAGGTTAGGTAAAGAGGAGAGCTATAGGGGGAATTATGGAGCATCCTGGGAAGGGGAAATAGATTCTGTGGGAGGACTGATGGGGGCAGGGGTGGGGGACATGGGAGGGGGAGGCATAGAGGGAGAGAGTGCAAGGAGAGCTGGTACTGGGAGGCTTTTGGGGGGATGGTGTGGAAACCTAGTGCAGTGGAAACTTCCTGGAGTCTATGAGAGGGTGAGGTAATGGAGGATGCAGTCTGAACGGGCTATCTTTTGTAGGCACGCCAGGCTTACAGTAGTGGGACCCGGTTCTGGCTTTTATGATTGGTAGCTGACAACTGGAGAAATTCCTTGACATGTCAGGTAAATTGTCCCGCCGAAGGCCGCAGTTTTAAATGTTTCCACTAGGTGGAGCCAGAGCACTGAGCTGAAGAAGCAATTGTCCTGTTCGTGCAAGGCAAAACAGAATCTGAAAAGGAACCACACCATGTTTACACCCAAGAATCCTCTAAATC